AAAGAGTGGTGAGGCCTTGGAACAGGCTGCCCAGGGAGGTGGTAGAGGCACCATCCCAGAAGATGTTCGAAAAACAGGTGGATGTGGAACTTCAGGTGATGATTTAGTGGTTGGAGGTTTTAGGATGGACAGTTGGACTTGATGACCTTGAAGGTCTTTTCTAACCTTGATGACTCTATGAAAGTGCTTGTATCTAATAAAACTGAACAATCTCAGGTTTTTGTGAGCCATGTTCATGTGAAGAAATGAGGAGTGTGTCTAATCCTGCTACTTAATACAGCAGTAAAAGTTGAAGCCACATTTTAACAGGCAGCTTTCCACCCAAGCTCTGCCTCCCTCTGGGAATCAGGACTTGGCACAAGCCCATCGCGAGCTTTCCATTTAGGATTGAAACTAAAATTTGAGAAGCTTTCTACTTCTTCAAAGCCACCAGTAAGCCTTTGCACAAGCCATCTGCAAACCTGCTGCCACTATCAAGCTTCTCAACCATCCAAGCAACGTTTTGGACTTGATATTAATAGTTAGTGAAATTTCACTGCACAATCATTGCCTGGGAGAGATGGCACCCCATGTATTAGATTCACACTGACCACACAATCCAGCCAGGCTGAAGGTAAATGCCATTAAGAGGAAGCCAAGCATCCAAAAATCCAGCCTTGCTACATTTTCTCCAATTTCCTGGAACATTTCCAAGCTGACCTTACCGAGTTGAACTGCTGCTGGAGCTTTTCGTTGGCATAGTTGATACAGAACTGCTCAAAGCTATTCACTTCAAAAGTTTCAAACCTGCAAAGCAATGAATAAATCAGCATTAAGTGACATTTCTTCTCAAAATCTGCTTTCTCTCTGCAATGGTGTCATCTGGCTGATGGGAAACACAAGGTATTCAACCATCTCCTCGAGTTCCTCTTATCCCAGATCAACACTTGATTCCTCATTGCCTAAAATGTCCATCTTCCCTTGCCACAACTCGAGGGATTCAAGAGGGATTCTGCTATGCATGGATGAGATATTTGGTATGACTTTAGCTTCCTGCTCATCAGCCAGCAGAGCTGAGATGAAAAATGCAACAGCCTCTCTTGGGGAAAAATATGATGAAATAGTAAGCCCAAAGAGATTCACTGCAAAGGTGATAGAGCAACAGTAGCTGCTGTCTTCAAAGACCCAACATGGTATTCATGTGATTCAACAGAGCAGAAAAAGAAAGGATTAAAGTAATAATTATAGCACACACACAAAGAAAGAGATATGTGAGCAAGAGACTTGGTGAAGGCAGAGGGAGAACTGGTCTAATTCCAACATGTTCCTCTGGTGTTGGTCTAGGTGATCCCGCTCTTCACCAGGACTTCTGAAGCTCTCCTTGGAGAAACATTAACCCAAAACCACCCATAGGCCACTGGTGAACCCCAAATCCAGCTCAGAAATGGCTTTAGTCACAATTAGAAAAGAAAACCATGTAATTTTAATAAAACCAACTACAAGCAAGGAGCAGAAATGCCAGCGGAGCCCCCGGGGTGGTCAAGGCTGAAGCACAAGACACCCAGGGACAGGCACAGGGAGCTGGGGTTGCTCTTAAAAACAGGACATTTTTCAGCTACCACAGGGAATTATGCTATTTATACTTCTATTTTGAAGGCACAGTTGGAAGGGGGAGGAAAAAAAAAAAAAAAATCAAGCCTTTGACACATGACTGGAAGGATTAAACTAAGGGAAGAAGTGGCAGGGCTCCCTGTGCTCAACGAATAAGCTGCTGTAACGATAAATGTGTGGTGAAGTAATTGCTCTGGTAATAGGTGCTGGCAGAACAGTCAGAAAGCACTAAACAAATTAATCCTTTTTTTCCTTCCCCCACCCCAAAATAAATAAATAAATAAATATTTCTGGTACTTTCTGTGGACCACGTGGCTGTTATCCATGGGAAGGAGTTATTCCCCACGTATTGCCAGGTGGTAACGCAAAATGCTTGAGCCCCTGGGGAAAGGCAACACAAAAATGCCAAAGGAAAAGGTGGAATGGGATAAAGTAGCCACTTTTGTGCTTTATCAGCCCCCAAACGCGCCAGGTAACCCAGGACCACTCCCCACACTGCTTGCACCAGGAGCCTGTGCTGAGCAGGGGATGCTCAGTTCATCTCCATCCCAATAAACAAGCTTTACAGTCTTTAATGCAACAAAAACTGGTGTCTAGGACCTAAAAATGTTTAATATAAACATGTGGCCAAGGCCTCAATGATGAACACTTCCTTGAAGGGCTCCTGATGTTCTTGATCTTGCAGGTTGGTGCCTACAGCTCTTGCAACTAAGGGACATGATTTTCTCAGGACTCCTTGGAAAAAACAAATCCTGGGGCTTCATGAAGAAATCTTCATTATGAGGGTGGTGAGACCCTGGCCCAGGTTGCCCAGGGAAGCTGTGGCTGCCCCATCCCTGGCAGTGTTGAAGGGCAGGTTGGATGGGGCTTGGAGCAGCCTGGGCTGGTGGGAGGTGTCCCTGCCCATGCAGGGGGGTTGGAACCCAAACTAGTCTGGGACTCTATGACTACAGACAGCAACACCCTTTGTGAAAGGGAGTTATGGTCTCTTTGTCAGACCAGACTCATAGGTAAGTGTTAAAACCTGCCTCTTTTCATAGGACCTGCAGGTCCCTCTGGAAAAAAACTCACTGTACTCTGTGGTGACACCAGTGAGAAGCCTCCACTGGCCGTGACGCACAGATCTGCGGCCAAGGGAGGTTTTTCTTCCACACTAACAGGTTTTCAAGCCCAGTTTAATCTTTGATGAGCATTATCCTCAAGTCTCCTTTTACTCAGACTTCTGGAAGACCACATCTGATTTATAACTCAGACTTTCTCCTTTCTGCACTGCCCCACTGTCACCCACACAGCTCCATCTCAAAGCTTTATTTACCGTATTCCAGCCTGCAGACATCCCTGTTCGTTAGGATGCTGACGGGAAAGAGCTTTTCCATCCCAAAGAGTCTCTAAACCATCCTGTGCCAACCCCAGCTTGAGATCTTCCAGGTCCTGTGCTATCTACCTAGGACAAACACTGCCTGTACTGTTTAGGGTCACACAACCCAAAGGAGGATCACAGCAGCAAACCACCCACCACGTCACTTTTTTTTCCATCCCTTTCCATTATTCCCAACCCCTGCCACAAGCCAAGGTGAAGGAGACAAATCAGAAAGATCTTAATTAGAAGCAGAGAGGGTTCCTACCCGTAGATATCGAGCACACCGATGAAGGAGTGTTGCTTGACCGTGGTGTGCAGGGCCTTGTTGATGTGCTGCACGATCCAGTTGAAGAGCTGGGCATAGATGTGCTTGGCCAAGGATTCACCACTTGCTGCAAGGACATGTTCTTCACATAGGTCTCAGCCGTGGTGACCAGTTTGCGGTGGCAAAGCCAGTGCTGCATCTGGCTGTGCTCCACCCCCAGCAGGTCACAGAAGTTGCTCAGGTGCTCGTCCTCACTCTGCGGGGAATGAGAAGAAACATCAACACGTTGGGGATGCTCCAAAACTGGATTTTTTTTTTAACTGTGGGTTCCCAAAGTGACTGCCAACAGGAAAGAGCTCTCTCCACTTCAACCCTCCTTGAACAGCAGCAACATGATCCTCCAGAGCAACCTTGAGGAATCCTCAACTCAAGGCTCAGGGGATGCCATTATCCCACATCTTTTCCAATCTAACCCCATTTTGAATAACAGTCACACAATGTGCATCATCAGAAGGCCTTTTTTTATTTTTTTGCATAATGAACAAAATGCAATGGGACCTTCATTTCCTTCAGTGTATTGTCTTCCCCATATATCCTCCCCCCTCCCCAAACTGTGACAAGGCAGTTCTGAGTCACTATTATGCTAAGACAGAGGATGTGGCCTTTCCAACAGTTAGTAATCAATTTCCTTCTCCTCAGTGTGATAATACACATGTAGAGGAAAGCGAAGTGTTTCCAGGTGGATACATGCTTGTATAAAAGCTGGATGGGTTTGGGGATGGAAAGAAAAAAGCCTTCAAGAAGACCTCTAGGACATGTTTTTTTTACCATCCTCCCTTTTTTTGATCATGGATTCAGAGTCAGGTTTGATTTATTACCACAGAATTAAATCTGAAGGTAATTAAACAACACGAAGCCTATTACAGAACTCAACATAGTCAGAGCAGACCAGTTTTTACATACTCATGTTGCCAAATATCAAGCTAATTACCCCCAGCTTCCAACTAATTGCACTGCACAGGATCTCTAGAGCACCAAAGTGTGTGGAGAACCCATTTCAGTACTTTAAGTAGCAATAAACAACCCAGGTTGTGATGCAACACTAATTGACAGGATACTCTTTTCCACAGCATCACTTTTTTTATTCCCCTAAACAAACAACTAAATAGAAAACTCCCCACTAAAGCATCTTTAGTCTTATTTATTCTTGCTAATTAACTGTGAGGTGCTGCTGTGAATACTGGATGGCCACATGACAAGCAGTAGCTTCATGGCTTTGCCTGTAGCAAAGGGGTTATAGAGCATCAGACCTTCTGCTGGTAGGACTCACTGCTCCCCCCCATACTCCGTGTACCATTCTTTTAAGAAAGTAATAGGAGTAGGGACATAAGGTGGTCAGTGACCTTTGAATCATCTTATTTATGTAACTAGACGATCTTAGCTGGGCAAAGAGGAACCTCATAAGATTCAACAAGAGCAAGTGCAGAGTCCTGCACCTGGGAAGGAACAACAAAATGCACCAGTACAGGCAGGAGGTGATCTGCTTGAGAGCAGCTCCATGGAGAAGGACCTTGGGGTCCTGGTGGGCAACAAGTTCTCCATGGGAGAACCATGTGCCCTTGTGGCCAAGAAGGCCAATGGTATCTTGGGGTGCATTAAGATCAGTGTGTCCAGCAGATCGAGGAAGGTTCTCCTCCCCCTTTAATCAACCCTGGTGAGACCTCACTTGGGAGTGCTGTGTCCAGCCCTAGGCTCCCCAGCTCCAGAGGGACAGGGATCTATGGGAGAGAGTCCAAAAGAGACCACAAAACTGATGAAGCAACTGGAACATCTGTCTGATGAGACAAGGCTGAGAGACCTGGGGCTGTTCTATCTAGAGAGGAGAAGACTGAGGGGGGGATCTAATTAATGTCTATAAATACATGAGGGCATCAAGAAGGCAGGGATAAGCTCTTGTCACTTGTGCCCTGTGAGAGGACAAGGGGCAACAGATTCAAACTGGAGCACAGGAAGTTCCACCTCAAGATGAGGAGAAACTTCTTTCCTGTGAGGGTGACAGAGCCCTGGGACATGCTGCCCAGAGAGGCTGTGGAGTCTCCTTCTCTGGAGATCTGTCTGGATGCCTTTCTGAGTGACCTGCCCTAGTTGGGTTTTTTGGGGTTTTTTTGGTCCTGCTCTGGCAGGGGAGTTGGACTCAGCGATCTTCAGAGGTCCCTTCCAACCCCTAATATTCTGTGATTCAAGGTCCCTTTCAATCCAAACCATTCCATGGGCTGGCTAGACAGGAGAAATAACACACTATCTCCCAGGAAAAACAAAGCAAACAGGAAATCACAATGTGTTTTTGAGAAAAGCATGGAAAAGCAACAGGAAAAGGGCTTTCTGCCAATCTGGATGTTCAACATATCCAAGGTGGCCTGACTGAGGAGCATACAAAAGCTCCCCACGTGCCCCATTTTGCTGGTGACTCACCGAGACGCTACAGGCGTCACCGTCCCGCTCCGCTTGGATTTCCAGGTTCCCCAGGTGCAGAATGGCAGCAATTATCCTAAAAATGGTCACCTGATGAGACTCCTTCACTCCTGCAGGAACAATTGAGAGCTGGTTGTCACAAAAGAGAAGACAAACCGTGATTTGTAGTTAATTTGCAAGCACTTGAGGTGTTTTGATTTCCATTGGGGGGGCTGTTGGTTTTCAGGATGAAAACTCACATGAACTCTCAGTCAATTCACTCAAAAATGACAGTGGAGACACTGAGAGGAGCTCCTCACATTATTTCTTCATCCCTAATGTCTGGATCCAAGGAATTTTATCACAGATGGGTTTCATATTACTGGGAACATGTACAGAACTGAGGATGCTGCTCTGTAATGATCCAACAGCATCAGACGGGCTCTGAGGCTTTTAAGGAACAAGAAGTTGTTTCTCTGCCATCAGAGCCCAACAGTGAGATCTGCCTGGCAACAGAAATCCCAGCTTATTGATCGTGTCCCACAAACAGAGGAGAAAATTCAAAATCACGACTGCTGCTAGGGCAGGGCACCAGGGAGGTGGTGAGAAGCTCTGTCCTGTGGTCCCCAGTGGTCTCTACAGGAGCCACCTGGTGTGGGTCTTCACTGGGGGGGTGTAAGATATTATCGCTTGGTCTAGTTTTCTGGCAGGTTTTTGTAGGCATTCCCAGCAGGAGCTTTGTCCAGCAGCAGCCCTGTCCACAGCCTTCCTGACATTTCGTGCGTTTTTCCATCCCTACTGAGTTTCTGTGCCCCTTATGTGCTCAGTGCTGGTGTCCTAATTATCCACCCAAGGTCTGAGACATCACCTGCTGGCTTTTGAATTACCAAGAGCTTCTGTTTCTCTCTCTCTCAAGGGACTTTTCTGTTATCAGCACAGTGAGAAAAGTTTCAAGGTGACTTAAATGCTCTGCTGTTACTTGGAGCTCTTAACTGGAGTTAAGCCTGGCCAAGGGTGGAGATTAGCAGATAAATCTGCCTTCTCTTTGACACACACACACAAAAGCAAGACTAGAAAGTGTAATAGAAATTTCACCCAGCCCTGAGCAGAAGCAGACAGAGCTGGAAAACACTGAAGGGAAATGAGGGAAGAGAAAGGAACCATGTCAGGAGCAGGAAAAAAAATCCTCAAATTGGTAGGGGAGGAGGATGATCACACAGGTCATCACAGGGATGATGGGGAGGCAGGGAAGGGGATCAAAGGGACACTAGATGTGACAAAGGGATAGGGAGAGGGTCCCTGCGGACTACAGTCCCATGGGAAAATTTGGAGTGACCCAAGGCATTGTATATTTTTGAGGAATTAACAGATCAAAGTCACACAAGCCAAACAAGAGAGCAGACCCTGCTATCACCCCAAAGAAAAAGAGATGGAGCCCACCTAAAACACAGAGGACAAATCTGGAGGAAACATCTGTAGTTATAATGCCTGAAATTAGCTTCCATGCTCCCTGTGGTTGGGATACAGCAGCTGGGGGGGATGTCACAGCTGGCTGCAGATAAATCTGCCTTCTCTTTGACACACACACACAAAAGCAAGACTAGAAAGTGTAATAGAAATTTCACCCAGCCCTGAGCAGAAGCAGACAGAGCTGGAAAACACTGAAGGGAAATGAGGGAAGAGAAAGGAACCATGTCAGGAGCAGGAAAAAAAATCCTCAAATTGGTAGGGGAGGAGGATGATCACACAGGTCATCACAGGGATGATGGGGAGGCAGGGAAGGGGATCAAAGGGACACTAGATGTGACAAAGGGATAGGGAGAGGGTCCCTGCGGACTACAGTCCCATGGGAAAATTTGGAGTGACCCAAGGCATTGTATATTTTTGAGGAATTAACAGATCAAAGTCACACAAGCCAAACAAGAGAGCAGACCCTGCTATCACCCCAAAGAAAAAGAGATGGAGCCCACCTAAAACACAGAGGACAAATCTGGAGGAAACATCTGTAGTTATAATGCCTGAAATTAGCTTCCATGCTCCCTGTGGTTGGGATACAGCAGCTGGGGGGGATGTCACAGCTGGCTGAGAACATCACAAGCTCCTCTCCCAACAGATGAGGCACTGAGACTGACCAGGATTTAAAAACCTGTTTTTAGACAAGTATTATTCAACTCTGGGCAAGTCTTCCCCTTGCAAAAGTTGCTGTTTCCTTTCAAGCAGTCACTGCAGCAGGCAGAGGTGGGTGTTGCATCAAGACATTTTGCAGCTGGCCATGCAAACACCCACTCAGCACAGCAGGGATGTGCTCAGCTCATTATTCCCAGGAATCAGCTGCTCTGAACAATGCTGTGATGGTCCAAGAAGTTACATCACCCTCAACCCAAATACAGACTGAACTGCAGAGTAAGAGCTCTTTTCCTGCCTGCAAATAGGATGAGAAGTAGCTTTGGCTTCAGAATGGTTAACTGTGGTTTCATCTTCAATTCAGTGTCCTCCTGCATTTCACTGCTGCCTCACAGGCAGCTGTAAGAAACATTTCTGCAGCTCACACTAAAGAACAAGGCAAAGCTCAAGAAGAAGATGGATTTATACCTCTCAGTTACAAGAAAACTACATAATTCAGGCAAAATACTGAACAACATTTGCAGAAGACTTCTCCTTGGAAGCCTCCAAGCAGAGCAAGGCCTTACCAAGCAAGGTGAAGGCATGCCTGGTTTTCTCAAAGTCATCAGCGTCATCCACACCGTCAATAGACGTGTCACCTCCCTGAGAAGCGTAGAAAAAGTCTTCAGCACATGCTAGGAGAGAAGAAACAAAAGAAATGCATCAGTGAGGAGCAGCTTTTTGGACCAAATGCAAGATGTAAGAAGAAAAAAGTGGCAGGATTTGTCCCTGCTTTAAAAACCTTCCCACGCAATTGCCCTGTCCTTAAAAAAAGGGGTTTGAGGTCAAAATCTTGAAGGTGTGTGTCCAAGGCTGGCAGGGTAAGTCCTGGCAGAGCCACCACCAGGGATGGTGGACAGTCCAGGGGGTGGACAACCTCCCCGTCCCACCCAGAATAGGTTCACAGCACTGAGCAGGAGAGAGACAACAAGAAAGACTAACAAAGATCATTAACACATACTAACATATTTCCTGAGTATCTTAAAACAAATAAAAACCCCAACCTATTGAGCATTCCACGTCAGCCCTCTAGTAACCTTTAAAATCATTCTAATTTGCCCTTTACTGGAGTCACGTTGCCACCAGAAGGTCCCCAGCCCTTCCCAGGCCTCCTGCAAGCTTTTGCATTAGCCGTACTTTCAGACTATAAAAAAAACCCCGTGTAATTCTTTTTGGCATCCAAAAAGGTTTGAGGAACCCAGATTTCAGGAACCCTGCTGGCTTCTGGAGCATCAGAAAGAAGGTGCAGGAAATGCTGATTGGGGTCAGAGAGCCCATGTCCATCCCAGTCCCCTCAGCAGAACAGGATGGAGCAACAACGCAGTTAAGAGACCTAGCAGCAGTTGATATGACCAGGACATCAGTCACCGATTTTAATAATCCACACTGAGATCTGTTTCTACCTCTAGTAATCTCTGGTATTAATGACTGGGTGGACAATGGATCAGAAAGAGTATGAAGGATAAGGCCCTGGGGGTGCTGGGTGATGAGAAGCTCCCCATGAGCCGGCACCGTGCGCTGGTGCCCAGAACCCACCCATGTCCTGGGCTGCATCCCCAGCAGTGTGGCCAGCAGGGCCAGGGAGGGGATTGTCCCCTCTGCTCTGCTGAGACCCCCCTGCAGGGCTGGGGCCAGGGCTGGGGTCCCCAGCACAGGAAGGACATGGAGCTGCTGGAGAGAGTCCAGAGGAGGTCTCGGAGATGCTGGGAGGGCTGGAGCAGCTCTGCTCTGGAGCCAGGCTGGGGGAGTTGGGGTGTTCAGCCTGGAGAAGAGAAGGCTCCAGGGAGACCTTGTGGCCTTTCAGTACTTAAAAAGGGCTTAGCAGAAAGATAGGGAGAGACATTTTAGTAAGGGCTATAGCAATAAGAGAAAGGGCGATTGTTTTAAATCGAAAGACAAGACATTTAAAGCAGATATAAGGAAGAAATTCTTTATGCCGAGGGTGGTGAGACCCTGGCCCAGGTTGCCCAGAAAGGTGGGAGATGCCCCATCCCTGGAAACATTCCAGGTCAGGCTTGAAGGGGCTCTGAGCAACCCAACCTAGGTGCAGATTTCCCTGCTTACTCTAGGGGGATGGACTGGATGGCCTTGAAAGGTCCCTTCCAGCTCTCTTCTAAGCTTCCATCTCAGCACCAACACTGGGTAAGTGTGGCCAATGTGTCCAAGTTGACCCAATAAGTCCTTAACATCAGTCCAGCATTAGCCAGAATCCAAAAACCTCTCTCTCCATCTGCCACTGCTCTGTAGCCACAATGGAAACCTCTGAAAGACTCTGCAGCAGCCAGATGCTCTGTCCTGGCATCACAACCTGCCTTCCTCACCATTTTAAATACTTAAAAGCATATTTGAAGCCTCACTTCTCTTTTTCCGTAACAGCAAAACCACAGAGATTAAAAATGAATCATACCACATCTCTGCACCCTTGCTGCAAGTCAAAAACCTCTTTTTCAGGTGAGGTTTTGCTCTAAATGCTGGGAAAAAAAACAAAGCCAATGGTTGTGTGGAGTTAAGCACTGACAGCCGTCAAAAACAATGGATTCCAAGGACAAAGCTGCAAGACAACAGTCAGGTCCACCCATACTCATCCTTCATTTGAAATATGGACCTTTATGCACTTCTCCTGCAATATTCACACAGAATCTCCCTGCCGGCATTTAACACAGCATGTGGCTCACTGTGGTTCTGCAGGCAGCTTCTACAGAATTCCCAAACTTCTCCCACCATGGCTAACCTACAGCAACAGCTTCTACCCACCAGCAGCACTGGCAGGGGGCCAACCCCAACGAGGGGGCCCTCTGCCTTCACCTCCTCCCCCAAATAGGCAAACACAACCCCAGTGACACTTATAATCCCACAATGTTCTCCTGTCGCCATCACACCCAAGCAGCAGCCACTGGCATGTAAGAAGGTCCAAATACTTACTTAGTCCAAGGTCTTTGAATTCTGGAAGGCTTGCTGAGGCACAAAGCTGATAGAAGATGTGATAGTTACGCTCATCTTCTGCCTACGGGGTAAAATGCTGAGTTAAGAGAGGTTGGAGCAGTGATCTCTTCTTCAGCCTGGCGCCTGCTGGAGCCTGAGGCCACCCTGACCCCCTCCCCAGCTTCCCACCATCAAGACCTCCTTGCTGCCATCAAGAGGAGGACCTGGGGCCACCCAGAAAAAAAGGTGCCAAGTCTTGCCCTGACCACAGAGCCTTGTTAGCCTTGCTAAGGAAAAAAGAAACTTCATATTTGCCTACAGGAAAACTAGGGAGGAACTTGGGACAAGGGTATGTAGCAAGAGGACGAGGGCTAAGGGATTAAAACTGGAAGAGGGGAGGTTTCAGTTGAAGATTAGAAGGGAATTCTTTGCTGTGAGGGAGGTGAGAGCCTGGCCCAGGTTGCCCAGAGAAGCTGTGGCTGCCCCATCCCTGGCAGTGTTGAAGGGCAGGTTGGATGGGGCTTGGAGCAGCCTGGCCTGGTGGGAGGTGTCCCTGCCCATGCAGGGGGGTTGGATCCAGATGATCTTGAAGGTCCCTTCAAACCTAAACCAGTCTGTGATTCAAAGATACTAACTTCCACACTTTATCCCTCTCTAGGATAACTGGGCTAAGTCATTTAGCAAGTACTGCCTTAAAAGACCATTAAAAGAGTGGCCCACACTTCTGGTTTCCCAGTGCTGTTTGATTTTAGGACTTTTGGTGTTGGGTTTGGATTTGTTGTTGTTGTTGTTTTTCTTCTGTAAGGACAAAGGTTTTGCAGGAGCTTCTGAGCTAGATCTCGAGCATGAACCAAGAAAGCTGGTCCTTAGCTCTGCCCAAGAAACACGCCACAGCAGAGACATCACACCCTCCTCTGCCTCCCTTCCACCTTCAGAATTTAAGGTTGCTGCCTGAAATTTATTCCTTCTGGCTTTTTATGTTCTTCCAGAAGGTGGTCACCAGGTTGGGATTAACAAGAAGACTAAGTTTGAGAGACATGTCTGGAAACTGCATCCAGCAGGAAAACCACTCATAAAGCCAGAAAAAAACCTATGCAAATCCAGCACCCAAGAGAGAGAAAAGAAGGAAAAACCAGCACAACTCCTCACCTGGAACACAACTCGTGATTTTTCCAACAGGTAAGTCCTCATGTTAGCACCAATGATGTGGTATCTCTTGTCAAAGCCAATCTGAATGTACTTCCCGAAGCGGCTGCTGTTGTCGTTCCTCGTGGTTTTCGCGTTGCCAATTGCCTGCCCCAAACAAAATGAAACATGCATTTTTCATGTCATTTTTGCATTTATTTAAACTTCAACATTTGTAATCAGTGTTGCAGAAACAGACATGGGAGGCTTTGAAGAAAACACCTTCCCAGATGCAGAGCAGCAGGAGCTGACAAAGAAAAAGCAGTGACAGGACAGGAAGGGAGGACTCAGGTGCTGGATAAAAACTCATTCGTGTTTCTACGTGTTTTTCTTCCACAAAAATGCTGGAGACACCACATTTTCAGTCATTAGACTTCCAGAATGTCCAAACCATCCACAGGTAACATCAGCAGCTCTACTGCAGGAGACATGGGCAAGGAACCTCTGCGAGAGGCAGGGAACCAGCTGCAATCCATCTCCAGATTTTCAGAATTTGCTCCATGGATCTGGTGACATGGCCAGTGTCCCTTCATGCCTCTCCAAAGCCTGCCTGTCATTGACCAGACTGCCCAGCATAGTGGTGGAGTCCCCATCCCTGCAGGAATTTCCAAGCCATGTAGATGTGGTGCTGAGGGCATTGGGTTAGTGGCGGTCTTGACAGCTGTAGGTGAACAGTTGGACTTGATGGTCTTGGAGGTCTTTTCCAACCACAATGATTCTAAGATCACCTTGTTTCATGTGCTTGGACACCTTGGCTATAAAGCAGAGATACCTGCCCCACCTCCCAGCAAGGACATTTATCCCACACACCAAACACAGCACACCTCAGTGCTAAGTTTAAAGCCAGGTTGGATGGAGCTTGGATCAACCTGGTCTGGTGGGAGGTGTCCCTGCCCATGCAGGGGATTGGAACTAAATGCTCTTTTAGGTCTCTTCCAAGCCAAACCAGACTGGGATTTTCTGATATGTCTGTATTTTCAGGCCAGCTCAGCACTGCTGTGAGGCTGCAAATCAGGTCTGGCTCAAAAGCCACTAAGGCCCTCATTGTTTTTGTGACTTCTGGAGAGACAGGGTGATCAATGCAAGCAGGCCAAAGGACATGCTGAAACTTTTACCTCCATAATTGGGCTGGATGCCAGGACTTTGGCTTCGATGTTGGTCTCGCTGGCAGAGCCGCCGACGGTTGCGAAGAAGCGCATGGCGTACTTGGCAGAGACCGTCTTCCCAGCGCCCGACTCCCCGCTCACAATGATGGACTGGTTCTTCTCATCCCTGTTGGGGCAGAGAAGAAAAGCTTCCGTAAGGCAATCCATTCTTTTTCCTTAAGAGTTTGTTCTCATAGAATCACAGATGGTTTGGGTTGGAAGGGACCTTAAAGCTCACCCAGTTCCACCCCCCTGCATGGGCAGGGACACCTCCCACCAGCCCAGGCTGCTCCAAGCCCCATCCAACCTGCCCTTCAACACTTTCAAATCTCCCCTCTTCCAGTTTTAATCCATTCCCCCTCATCCCATCCCTCCTGCCCTTGTCCCAAGTCCCTCCCCAGCTTTCCTGGAGCCCCTTCAGGCACTGGAAGGTGCTCTAAGGTCTCCCTGGAGCCTTCTCTTCTCCAGGCTGAACACACCAACTCTCCCAGCCTGACTCCAGAGCAGAGCTGCTCCAGCCCTCTCATCATCTCTGTGACCCATTCTGGACTTTCTCCAGGAGCTCCAAACCCAGCACCTCTGCAGTTCATCCACACTCTTGGGGAACAGAGAGTTTTCACCGCAGAGTTCAATATAAGCTCCCAAATTCCCAGAGCTTTTGGGCTAAGCTTTAAGTATGTAATTGAGGATATTTTAAAATCAGATGAAACTTCCCAGACTCTGTCCAGCTCTCCAGCATCACTGCTGAATGCAAGCACAGGAGATCCTATCACAACCATAAATTTCCACCTTGCACTCCTCTTAACAACAGGAAACACCACAAAAAAGCATTTTGATTTAAGATACTCAGTTAGGGCTTATACCAGGATGAGAATGAAGGCTACAAGATTGCCATGGGCCACCCTCAGACTTTCAACCCAAACAAACCAGTGATGCAACACCACACCACTACTTTCCTCTGCTGTCAGACATTGCACATCTTGATTCCTTCAAGGCTTACATTTATAGGTTTGGGAAAAAAAACCTCGGTTGGGGCAAATGTGACATTTTGGTCCAGGTTACAACCTTCTAATGCTTTCAGCAGGTGAGGATTGGTGGGCTCATTTCCAGCTGTGTTTTTATTTTTCAGGGATTGTTTCCTAAAGTGTATCTTAATTTATCTCTTAGTCAGCTCTGCCGCTGTCCTGAGCATTCACCAGCAGGAGGAACCTGCAACCACTCCAGCCATCAGGCAGTTAAAGCAGAAATCCTGGCCATGAACTCAGCACAACCTCACCCAGGCAGCAGAAAATCAGAGTTAGTGCTGCTGGTGACTCATGCTGGGTGGGGACAGGCTGGGCATCTGACTGAGGACTTGTGAAGTCACTGCTGCCAGCCCTCCACATGTCTTGGCCAAGCCACCAAGACTCTCCTGCAGGCAGCCAAGCTGGCAGGATCCAGGCATGGAGCTGCCAAGATGCCAGTCTCACACCTTTAGACTTCCATGGGTGTGTGACAAGCCACCAGGCATGTCCACCCAACAGAGAAAGAGCAGTGGAAGCTCCAAAGTGAAGAAGACTGAGAACCAAAAACAGAAGTATGCTGGATTAACCCAGAGATTCCCAGACAGGTGATGGTGGTGGTTTATTACAGTTCATCTCTGGTTAAAGTAGGTGAGGAAGTTTCACCTCTGCTTTTATGATCTCTGTGGACAACCACTTGCTGGGTTCCAGCAGTGAATATCCCACACTGCCCAGCAGTAGAATGCAACATGAAATTCACGTTGACTACAAAGACAGCAGCAGACAAAGAGGCATGGGCTGCAAGCATGGATGAATGGACTATGCTTCAGCAGAGGTGAACAAGAAGCAGAAGAAGTGACAACCAGGTTCTCTGCCAGCTATGTTGACCTCTTTCATAAATTATCCATAGCAGCTATTGGTTGGAGGTTGGACAAGACCAATCCATCAGGAAGCCCATCCAAGGAGCTCTCCAGACCCACAGTCTCCATGGGCTTCAGATCCCATCACAAACTACCTTTTATGTTGCACCTCCAGTGGTTTCTTCCTCCTTCAGGCTCATCTTCAAAGTACCATCATGCTCCAAAAGACACTGAACCTAGTGATAAAAAACATCTACTGCTACTGCAGTCACTCTTCTAGGTCACTTTTTCCCAAAGCTTCTGAAGAATTTGCCCAAATGTCTATGTCAAGTGGATTTGGTGGATTCTCCATGGCCCAAGAAAACTTCTGGATTTGTATTTTATTAATAAAACCAAGGAAACAGCAAGATACTAGATTCCACGCAAGTCAGCAAGGCTACTCAAGCTCCTGCTTTTGAAACAACTTGTCTCTTCTGTTTGTTTCTTTTGGTGTAAAATGCATCTTCAGACATTTCCAACTTCAGGAAGAAATGCCTTCAGGAAAAAAGGCTGCAGAGACTTGCCCTTCTTCAGTGGACAAGTTAACCAACTGCTGGTGCTAGCAGGGAGAACTAGATGAATCCCATGGGGTGGCTGGTAGCAAACAGGCTGCCCAGTGAGCAGAAATGGTTCAAACCAGGCAGGACTTGTTTCTAATCATGGAATGAAAAACACTGAAAGGTTTGGCCACCGTAGAGGTGGGGTATGAAACAGCTGCTTGAAACACAGTCCATGTGGGCAGTAGCACAGAAGAAAATTATTATGGAAATAAAGCCTGGATAAAACAAAATGTTATGGGTGAACACCAGCTCTGCTGCAGGATGGCAATGTTGTTGTGTCCTCTCCTGGGGTTTATGTGGCTCCTGCGACCCTCAGGGCTATTACTGGGGCTTGTTGTGCCATTTCAAGGTGCAGCAGGGCTCAGACAGCTCCCAGAATGCGCACGTGTGGGCACACATGTCACACTCTGGCAGCAAAACAGAAGGTCCAAAGGGACTGGGCTTCAATGATGGCTGAAGACAGCATCCCCACCACATGCCACTGCTGCACCTCTAAAGAAGGTTTGAAGCACATCAACACACAACTCCTCAACCTCCCAAGTACTTGTGTTTCTTCACTCAAGAGCAGCTTTCCAAGATGACACACAGCCTGGAAATCTAATACCATGATCTGAGCCACAGCCTCCATCCATTAGAGATGCCTACAAAGTTATCAAAGTGCAGAAGTTAAACAAGAACTAAGTCCAGGATAACTTCTTCCATGTGAGACACAACTACATCTCCAAAGCTGAGGACTGCAAGAGTTGGTGCCATCTGAGACAGCTAATGGACTGCTGGCTGGCTGTGCAACCTGAATGTTTGGCCTTATTTTGCTATTTGCTCTCTTCAAGCAGTAAAACCTGCTCAGAAGCTGCTACGCAGGTGAGTAGCACATCTCTCCTTTTGCAGATGTGTGTCATGTTATGAGAAATACTCATCAAGACTCTCACTCTTGGGTGAGGCATCCAGCCCAGCCAAACAAGACAGTCACTGGAGTTTTCACAGCATGTGGAAAACACCACAGAATTGTGGAAGGGACCTTTCAAGGTTATCTAGTTCCACCCCCGTGCATGGGCAGGGACACCTCCCACCAGCCCAGGCTGCTCCAAGCCCCATCCAACCTGCCCTTCAACACTGCCAGGGATGGGGCAGCCACAGCTTCCCTGGGCAACCTGGGCCAGGCTCTCACCACCCTCACACCAAAGAATTGTCTCCTGATGCCTATTTCGGAAGAAACAGAATTTCTTTCTAATGTTAATTCTTCCTTCTACCCAGTCTGTAAGTCTGGTAGATAACTGTTGCTTTTTTTTATTAAGACAACATCTAAGGTGCTGCTCAAGGCAATAATAGTCACTTGTCAACAAGGAGAAAGGGCATTTCAAATAGATACCTGATTAGCAGTAGCTGCTAATCACCAACCTTCGGATCCAGGACTCAGATTTCCCTGCTTGTTGAAGCAGTTGGTCCTTCACCCATGGCAATGCAGAAAATGCTGTTACCCTCCCAGATGCCTCCAAACAAACTAGGAAAGGTGTAGAAATGTCCAAGCTTCAAGTCCATCTAGCTGGACCCAGCTCTCCAACTGCTCTAAGAGCTGAACTCATTTTGGTTGCATGAGAGCAATGGGAAGGGAGGCACTGCTCAGTGTGTCTATACACTGTACTCCACCTGGGAATGTCATTTGCCATTGTATTATTTCACATCAATTTACATGTTTAAGTCAGGGTTGAACATCCCTGTTAAGTCCTAATTGCAGGGAAGGGGATGGTCAAGCCATGGCAAAGGCATAGGGGTTGAACCCAAGCAGGAGTGTTAGTTCCCACCACTTCTCCCTTGAGGAGAGACAGGGGACATCTCAGTTCACATGTACAAATCCAAGATCCTTGGCCTTCACCAACACTGCTTGAAAGCATGAAGACAAACAGACCCCAAATCTTATCCAGAACTAAACCACAGTCAGAAGTCTTCCAGTGTGAGCTTTTCTGTAAAGCAGTAAATCCAAACCCATGAGAAGATCCCAAGAACTTCCAGGACTTGTTTTCATAGTCATTTCTTGAGAAAATTATCACCAGGAACTTTAAACAAACCACTGCACAACACCTTGATCTCAGCAGTTAGAACAAAACCAGCTGCATGAAAAGCAAAGGAAAAATATCCAGAGAAAATGAGGCCAAAACCAGACCCCAGGAATAATTATCAGGGGGTCACTCCAGCTCTAATCCCGGATCCGACACTAATTCTCCATGTGGTGGAACAAGTCAATGAGTCTGTCTGTGTTTCCACTGTGGAAACCATATTTAACCTACTTCTTTTTGGGCTGCTTGTAGGATTAGTGCTCATCAAGCCATCTGAAGATTAAAAACCCTTTAAGCACCATCGTTTGACTGGAGTCTGACCACGAGGAGAACATCTGTAAAGTGGCACCACTGCAATGTGAAGCAGCATTGCTGACCAGAGTGGCAGCTGGTTGTTAGTTTTTTCACTTATGGGCTTTAATTTGGGTTTCCAGACACCCATGTCTGGCAACACTGGTCACCACAAACACGAAAACAATAACTTTGGGGTAGACAGATTTTTCCATCTGAGAAACCCAATAAGATGTTATTTGTGTTGGACCCAAGAAGGGTGCTTAAGGTCCTACTTTCCATGTGCATCATCGAACACCTGCTACAACTGTATTTTATGCTG